CCTTGAGCTGAAGAATTCAAGTACTGAGACACTTTAACATGATTCTACCTTGAAAACATTATGCTATATAAAGAAGCTAGGCACAAAGGGCCATCTTGCCCAGTGTTAGAATGTGAGGTCAGCAGTGTTCCACACTCTACCAGACCGCAGAGACAGAAGTTGTGGGAGGAACCAGTTTTATTCTAGGCCAGATATTTCCATATATACATACAGTACACTTAAAGAAATTTCATCCTGTCCACTACATTTCCAGTCCTCCTGTTCTCCCTCTGCAGCTCCTTTTCAAACAGCTTTGGTAGGTTTTAGGGTGTGTGTGTGTGTAACATTCTTCAATACAATCTACCACTCTTCCCTTTTTTTCTCTTCCTCTTCTCACAGACAACCTCCTAGACAGTTCTGTTTACATTCTTGTCCCATTACCATCATCATTGTCATCATCTGCATCATCGTTTTTGTCATTGTCGTCGTCATCATCATCATTTTCATCATCTGTTTTCCACCTATACTTCACAAATGAGGGAGAAAATGGGGCTCAGGCTTACTGAATCTCCACTTCCATTCCATTTCACTGAAAGTCTCATAGCTATGACAAAACTTCATCTTCCTTAGTGGCAGAGAAATATTCCACAGTCCAAGCATGTGCATGCATGCGTCTGTGTGTCATATGTTTAGTTTTTTGAGGAGCCTCCACACTGAATGCCACTGAAGTTCTATTAGCTTACATATGGTTTGTTTTCTTGGGTAAGATGGAATCCTAGTATAGTTTTGACGAGCATTTCTATATGTATTAGCTGTATTTTTTTCTTCTGGGAATTGTCTTTTCAATTCAGTTACTCATGGGTTAGTTGGATTATTTGTTCTTTTGCTGTTTACTTTTTGGAACTCTTATATAATATTCTGGATAGTGAGCTTTTATACCTTACATAGCTGCCAAAATTTTTTCCCAGTCCATGGATTATGTCTTGGTTCTGGCAATTGTTTCTTTTTATGTGCAGTAACTTCTAAATTTGATTTTTTTTTTTTGGTCCGGTCATGGGCCTGAACTCTGGGCCTGGGCGCTGTACCTCAGCTCTTCAGCTCAAGGCTAGCGCTCTACCACTTGAGCCACAGTGCCACTTCCGGCTTTATCTGCTTATGTGGTGCTGAGGAATCAAACCCAGGGCCTCAGGCATGCAAGGCAAGTGCTCTACCACTGAGCCACCTTCCCAGCCCCAATTGCCACTAAATTTTGTATATAACTTTCTAATTTGCTAACAAATTTGCTGGATTGAGTACAGCTCTGGATTTCTTCTTGTAAATTCTTCTTTACTTATTCCAACATGGCTTGGATTTCTTCTTAGAACGACTGATGGAGCATCTCCAATTTGATGAGACATTAAGCAGTCATCATATGTATGATGTCATTACAATCATTTTTTTAAATGTTGGAGCTGTGCCTTTTTACATATGGAATGTTAGCTAGGTGCCTGTAGCTCCTGCCTGTAATCCTAGCTACTCAGGATATATGATCTGAGTATCATGATTCAAAGCTAGAGTGGGCAGGAAAGTATGTGAGACTTTTTATAAAAATTTCATAGTAAAGGTGATGTATAGTGGTGTTACAGTTGTATATGTAAGGTAATGAGTACATTTCTTGTTGAACATTGTTACCCCTCCCTCATTTTTCTCCCACTTCCCCCCCAACTTTCCTCCCCTAAGTTATAAAGTTCATTTCCAGCATATTATCTTGTGAGTATTGCTGTTGCATTGGTTCACCCTTTGTCATTTGTGTGTGAGACTCTTATCTCCAATTAACCACAAGAAAACTGAAAGTGGTGCTGTGGCTCAAAGTAGTAGAGTGCTAGCCTTGAATGAAATGGCCCAGGGACAGAGCCAAGGCCTGGAGGTCAAGCCCTACGACCCAAAAAAATAAAACCCAAAACAAATCACTACCAAAAAAAATCACCACAAAATTATAAAAAGACAAGTCACAAGCAGAAAAAAATGCTTTCAACATATGGAACAGTGTTAGAACCCTTTATCTAAAAAGTCTTGTTGCCAGATATGATAGTACATGCTTAAAAGTTCTGCACTGGAGTCTGAGGCAGAAGGGTCCTGAGCCCCAAGACAGCCTAGGCTACGTAACAGAGACTGTCTCCCAGCAGGCTTTTTTTTTTTTTGTATTTAAAGGGGCCCAGCAGGCTTTTTATTTTTCATTTATTTTTATTTTTTATTTTTGGGTCCAGTTGTGGGGCCTGAACTCTGGGCCTGGGCGCTGTCCCTCAGCTCTTCAGCTCAAGGCTAGCACTCTACCACTTGAGCCACAGCGGAACTTCTGGCTTTTTTCTTTTTGCTTATGTGGTGCTGAGGAATCGAACCCAGGGCCTCATGCATGCAAGGCAAGCGCTCTACCACTGAGCCACCTCCCCAGCCCTCCCAGCATGCTTTATGATTCAATGGAACAGCAGTGAAAACACTCCGCTGAGAGGGTGGCAAAATATTTGGGCAGGTAATCAGGATTTTCAGAGTGAGGCTGGAAGGGTGAGCATAGACTTTACCAGGTAAAAGCAGTATAGAAATCGCACACCACGGCAGTGACAGCATGGCACAGACTCAAGGTCCTTAACAGAGGACCAAGTGCGAGAAGTGCCGGAGTGGTGGCACCCAGGGCTCAGAGGGGAGGGAGAGCCTGCTAGGTTCACTGACAATTCCTTTCCAGATCTTGAGTCCTTTAAATGCATGTAGTATCAGTAGGTTCCTTTTACTTTTTTTGTTTGTTTGTTTTGGTCGGTCATGGGGCTTGAACTCTGGGCTTGGGCACTGTCCCTCAGCTCTAGTGTTTATTGGAGATAGGAGTCTCACGGTCTCTCCTGCCCAGGCTGGCTTTGAACCACAATCCTCAGATCTCAGCCTCCTGAGTAGCTAGGATGACAGGTGTGAGCCACCAGTGCACGGCTTTCTTTATTTTATTTTTATTTTTTTGGTCGGTCATGAGGCTTGAACTCTGGGCCTGGGCGCTGTCCCTCAGCTCTTCAGTTCAAGGCAAGCGCGCTACCACTTGAGCCACAGCGCCACTTCTGGTTTTCTAGTGGTTAATTGGGAGATAAGAGTCTCATGGACTTTCCTGCCCAGGCTGGCTTTGAATCGTGATCCTCAGATCTCAGCTTCCTGAGTAGCTAGGATGACAGGTGTGAGCCACTGGCACCTGGCTCTTTTGCTTATTTTTTGACAAGCAAAAATGAAATGAAGCTGCTGGCAGAGCAAAACAAGCGAATGTTCCAGGGCTGCAGTGGTGTTAATTCCTTCACTGTCTGACTCTCTCTTGCAGGGCACCCCCGCCTGTGCACGGGACATGCAAGGTGCTGTACAACTCAAAGCTCCTGTTTCGCCACCGTCTCTATGCAGACCTGGAGACCATTCTGTACCACGTGCACCTGTTCAGGCCGCTGTCACTGCTCATGCGACACCCAGCACTCTACGTGCGCAACGCTGTGCCACGCAGAGCCTTCCTGGCACTGGCCAGGTGGGGAAGGGTAAAAAGCTAGTAGACCCCAGGGGACCTCAGGTGCAAGCTGACATTCTGGAGGAGCACTGGGCATTTGTGTGCCCTTACGATGCTGCTGTGTCTGATACACCCAGAAGGGCCTGAGAAAGGGCTGGTTAAAACTCATTTTCTGGGGCTGGGA